GGGGGGGGGGGGGGGGGGGGGGGGGGGGGGCACCTTAGAGGCTGCTGACCACAAATGTCACCAAGGGCATATGCTTGTGTCCATCTTACCACAGCTTCACTGACACTCAATGTTTTAGTATTTAAAAATTACTCGTATAGTAGGTGTAAAAGACCATCTCCCACTTTAATGACCACTTCCCCAGCCTGGTATCTCCCCCTTGGGTCACTTAGGTCTTTGCTGTAAGCTCCTGTCAAGTAATTTCCCAAAGATGTCAACTGATAGCAATCTAAAGAATTGCTGTAACTGGAAATTCTTGAAAGTCTATAAAGCAGAACTATATTAGGCAGCAGTGAGTTCTCTGGGAGGGGTTCAGTCTCAAGGAATTACTGGTATTTGGGTAACAACTCCAAGACCTGAACACCCTGGTACCTATAACACTTAAAAGTACTAAAATTTAGAAAGTCAATCTTCTTTTAAAGCCTACTATATACCTTCACCAGGGTTCACATTTCGCAAATTTTCTTACACTTTCATTGTCAAAACAATCCTGTAGTATACGTATATCCCCCTTTTATAGATAGGAAACTGAGGACCAGAGGTGAGCAATCACTTGTTCAGGGTGACTCTGCTATGATGGTAGGGCCAGGATTTGAACCCCTGGCCGGCTGCCCAGTCTGCTCTCCCCCTGCCTCTTAAGGTCCCCTTGTACTCGGCTGGTGCCTCCTACAGCTCCATGACACTCTGCCCTCCCCCATTCCCACTTGGGTACTAAACATGATCGAGTAAATGACTCCTTCCTCTTCAGTTAGCTGGAAGGGTCTCCCCTGGAAGTTCTGTTCAATGACTATTTTTTCTTACTAAAAGAAGCCTGAAAAGTCAACTCTAACCCAGAGTGGGGAGAATAGCTATAGTGTCCACAGTATAAGTTTGCACCATGAAATCTTTAGGATAAATAGAACAGTATAAATTTAGCGTTTTGGGAATATCTGGAACCAGACTGCTGGCTTCAACTCCTTGTTCTGTTACTCACAAAGCTTTTTGATTTGGGGCAAATTTCTTCACCTTTCTGTGTTGTTTCCTCACTTGTACAATTGAAAAATAAAAATAAAAATAAATAAAATTACATTGAAAAATAAAATATTATCAGCTATATGCTCCAATTGGGGATAAATGAGAAAATGTCTCTAAGAACCTAACACAGTGTCTGTGCATAATAAAGGCCCCATTACATTACTGAACGGACATGGCGGGCAGGAGACAAGCAGGCGGCCTCTCTGGGTGAGGAACTGCACATCTATCTGGGACCCGGCCTGTGATCTATACACATGTGGGGACTGGGGTTCCATGTGTGTGCCCAGCTCCAGGCATGGCTGAGTGGGGCCCTGCATTGTGGACAGTGGTGGGAACAGAGGCAGTAGGGCCAGCTAGGGTCAGGGATGGGCAGAGCCAACACCAGTGCCATGATTCTGGGACTCTCCTCCCCATATTTTGGCTTGTCTGGATGTGCATGTGTGTGGGGGTGGGGTATTTGTGTGTTGATGTAGCTCTCTGTAAGTGAGCCTAGTTCTGGGTCTGTGCATAAGTGCTCTGTGGTGTTGGGCATCTTTGCACATTCACACCCAGAAAATCATGAACCTGGGATGGCGGGGGTGGGGCATGAGTCAGTAGAACAGTATTCTCCAGTGGTCTGGGGCAGAGTGCCAATGATTGTGGCACAAAGAAGGCACCTGAGAAGGAAAGATTCAGGGTAACATTACAGGGTAACTCCCTACCACCTGGCTCACCTGCAAAGCCCTAGAGCATGTTTCTTAACCTTTCTGCGATCAACCCCTGAATCTGTGCGGAGGGCAACAATATATTACAAAATTTGAGGCTCGTAAAGCTTCATAGAGTCCCTGGTACCGTGGGGAGTAATCTGTACCTTACAGGAAGTGACCCAGAAGTGTCCCGGTTTCCCTGCTGGAGTCAGCAATCACGGAAGTTCAGTGCCAGGCCCTGCCTTTGGAAAGTCCCACGGTGGGAAGACAGGAAAGGATCAGATGTGATTCACAGAGGCCACATCAGGGCATCCAGCCAGTCTTGCTGTAATTGCTCAAAGACATTAGGGAGCTGTGGCTGTGCTTGTTGCAGCTTAGAGTCCTGTTCATATATTTAAAAATATTATGGAGAGCCTCAGTTCAGAGCTGTAAACAAGAAACACAATCCTGCCATTATACATATTACATTTCAGCAGAGGAGAAACTAAACCAGTAACTCTGACAACTTAGTTAGTTAGCTGTAGGGCTAGGGAGAGGCACAGGATGTGTGAGAACATAAATGGGGATCTGAGGTAAGACGGGGAAGGCTCCTGGGTAAAGTGACCTGAGTGGTCAGGTCCCTGAGTATTCCTGCAGGAGGAGCACCAAATAACTGAGCAAAGGGCAGGCTGCAAAACAGCACCCTGGATCAAAGGCATGAAGGCATGTGTGGAGCAGGAGGTGAGAGCAGTTAAGGGACCAAATTGCCGGTGAAGCTAGGATCCACAGAATCAGGGGAAGAGGGACATTGGATGGGTTGGAGAGGCCAGCAGGCCCAGGCTGGGAGATGTGACTTTAGCCAGAAAGCGTGGGGATGTCCCTAACGGGTTTCAAGCAAGAGAGCCACCCAATCAGACCTGCACTTCCAAGAGCTCGGAGAAGTGAGAGAAGAGCCAGGAGACCCAGTGGAGATGAAGAAAAGATGGAGCTGTGAACCTCCAGGAAGGAAAGCAACAAGGCTGGGTGCTGGATTTTGCCATGGGTGGGATAGTGGGAAAGAGAGGAAGGACCACTAGCCCAAAGCACACCCTTGGCCTGACTGCCAACCTGCCAGGGGAGGGGTCTGCAGTGGGAGGGTTTGAGATGGCTTAAGCCAGACTTAGGGGGATTTGCAGAATGCAGTGAGGAGGGGCCACACACACACACTCTCTCTCTCTCTCTCTCTCTCTCTCTGGAGAGCCATGGTTGGGGTGTGTGTGGCACATAAGGCATGTGTGGGGACTGGGAACAGCACGTGAGTGTAGACAAAGTTTGTGACTTGAAGTAGAGGGGGACAAGTGAACAGCCATTTCAGGGCCTTGCTCTCCCCCACACTGGAGCTGCCTTACCTTACCCTTTGGGCAGAGCAGCAGGAATGCCAGATGCTGCCTTCTGGCTCCTGCAGTACTGAGAGTGAGTGGGGTGCGGGTGGGTATGGTGAGAAGATGGAGTCCATCAAATTTCAGACCCCTAACTGCACTTCTCCAACCAAGAATTAGGTGGCCCCATGTGGCCCTGTTTGTATAGCAGCAGCAGGGTGACATCCCAAGGGCCCCATGAAGTTTTTCTGAGTGGAGACTTGTTGACCTGGTACTGCCTCGTCCACCCATCTGTGTGCTCATCAAACCCGTGCCCAACGCTGTCCCAGGCACCAGGGACCCATGCGATGAGTAGGGCTGCTCTGCCCTCAGGAACTCATCCTGTCCGGGTCTGGTGTAGGGACCTGCAGGCTGGCTCAGCATACTGAGCTCCAACCCACGGTGAAGGACTCAGCAAGGTGTTGCCCCATTCCCACCTTGTCCTTCAGTTCTAGCTGGAGCACTCTCCTTTCCAGAGCTATCTGCCACCACCAAGTGCTCTTCCCGAGTGTGGTCTGATCCCTTTGCCCTGAGTTATATTGGTGCCAGGCCAGAATTCTTCACAACTCTGCCAGGGAAAACAATCTTCAATGAAAAGATGACACGAATGGCCAAATTGAGCGTGGCTCCCTCATCACAACTCTGTTCACCCTGCCCTGCTGGGGTCTCTTGTCCAAGGATGAAAACTGGCAGCCTGATCTATCCACCCCCAGAGGGCTCAAAGGAGACAAGCAGGGCAAGGATGCAGCCTTCTCATGTGTCCGGAGTGGACAACAGGCCCAGCCCACTGCCCACCTCCGCCCTTGTGCTCCCCTCACTTCCCCTAAGAGCCAGGCTCCCCACCCCCCAACTCCCCAACTCCCTCTCCTCTCCTCTCCAAGCCTGACCATTCTCTGTGCCTGCGGAGGTTGACTGCTCTGGATTGCATCAGCGGGCTCCTTCCCTGCAGGGCCTCGGTTTTGCAATGGTCTGTTCCTTTCTCTCCCTCCAGGCAAAGACCATACCAGACCTCCCACGCCACAGGTCTCACCAGGTTCTGGGCACACCTCCCCTCCCCTTCAGGTCCAGGGGCCCTCCTGGTGCTCCTACTGCCCTTGTTGGACTCCCTGCCCCCAAGCATGCCATCTGCATCCACAGGACCCTGACTGGTGTACCATCCTTAAGGCCCACCCTAAAGCAGCCTCAGATCTACACTAACTTCTTATCTTGGCTTCTTAACTCTTTTAACCTCCACCAGAGGAAAACCGGGATTTGACTACAGGTCAATTGAGGGATGGTTCTTCACTGCAGGAAAGTGTTCACATACTGCAAGCACCTTTGGTGGGGAGGCGTGGCCTGACTCCCACAGCCACTCAGAGACCAAGGAGAGACATCCTGTTTATTTATGGAGCATCCTCTTGCACCCTCTCTGCCAAGACCTTATGTTCACAACCTCACACAGTGCTGCAATCATGCAAAGTAGTTTACATCATCCCCACTTAACAGTTAAGGAAACCAAGGCTCAGATTCATAAAGGGACCTGCCCAAAGTCACTGAGTTCATCAGTGGTAGTTAGGGAAGAATCTAGGCTATTTAAATCCAAAGGCTGTGATTTTTCTGACCTTGGTCTGTGGGTGCAGAGTCACCAAGAGAGCCCCCCAGGTTCCATGGCAGGGTGGTATCTGCACAAGCTGGAACTGTTCTTGTGATGAGCCATCAGGAGCGGCCTGGGTTGAGCATTGCCCTCCACATCTGCAGCAGAGAGTCCCGGTGGGTTGTGTAGGGTAAATGCTTGATGCGGAACCAGTGTCTGGGGACGACGTTCCCACTGGGTGTAAACAGCTTCTCCCCATGCCTGCCCAAGAGACTGCGCAGGGCCTGGTTGCCTGATAGAACCTTCTCATAGAACTCCACTCCACCCTGGGCATAGGCTGTAGACAGGGAGGCCGTGCGGCGGTCCAGCCAGGCTTCCAGGGCATGAGTGAGAGAGTCTGTGGAGAAGGCGTAGGTCACAAAGCCTGCCACAGCTGCCACCAGGTTGAAGGCAGCCCGTAAGTTCATGGGGCCTCCGTAGAGCCCCAGTGCATGCTTGGCCCCCACGCCCAGTGCCCAGGTCCCTACCAGGCAAGCTGGGGCTGGCAGGGCCTGCAGGGCAGCTGCACTGCTCTCCAAGTACACAACCTCCCTCGCCAAGGCGAACTTCTGGGCGTCATGGGACAGGGTCAGGGCATCTCTCAGTCGGGCGCCTACTGGGCTCTGCCAGTCTACTCTTTGCCCAAGTATGACCACAGGCTGCTCAGTTTTGGTCACTGGGCCCCACAGAAAGCTGGCGGGGATGCCCACCACAGCCCCAGCAGGGAGTCTTGGGAAGCCCGCACTCACAGGCTGGAAGGTGAAGGTGGTGAAGGGCTTGTAGCAGTGGCCTCTGGAGACACCCATGTCCTGCAGCACCTCTTGAAAGAGGCTCTGTAGCTCCGGGAAGAGTGGGGCCGGCTGGCCCTGAGGCCAGTACTGGTAGAGCCACTGGACCACAGGATTTGCGAAGAGGTGGTATGAGATTTGAGCCCCAAAGAGGCCTGCGCAAGAACCCACCAAGAGGCCTGTCCTGTGTCTCTGCACAAATGCTGCAGCCCACCACAGGGGCCAGTACTGGTAGAGCCACTGGACCACAGGATTTGCGAAGAGGTGGTATGAGATTTGAGCCCCAAAGAGGCCTGCGCAAGAACCCACCAAGAGGCCTGTCCTGTGTCTCTGCACAAATGCTGCAGCCCACCACAGGGGACCAGCCATGAGTGCTGCCACTGCTGACAACCTGGGCCAAGAAAAAGAGAAGTTAGCCAACAGTTCCATGGGTCTGCCTGCAGACTGAACATCCTACAAGAGCCACATCCTTTTTAAATGAAACAATACAGCATAATGGTTAATGGCATGGGTTCTAGAGCCAGACTACCTCGGTTCAAATCCCAGCTCCAACTCTGTACATCATTTCCCCATTTGCCAAACAGCATGTGACAATGGTTCACCTCTAGGGTGGTTGTGATGAATAAACGAATGGACATACATAAAACAATTACTGTCTGGCACAGCAGCAGGTATCCCTTGTGCCAGTGGCTGTAATCATTATTTTTATTCCCATGGCTAGGCACAACACTAAATATCCAATTGCCTCACTCCACCATTTTATCCCACAGTAAAGCCTTATGATTACTAATTTATAAATGAAACATGTTCAATTTATTGAGTACAGTAGTCCTCCCTTATCTGTGGGGGATATGTTCTAAGACCCCCAATAGATGCCTGAAACCACGGGTAGTAATGAATCCTATATATGCTATGTTTTTCCTATACATACATACCTATGATAAAGTTTGATTTATAAATTAGGCACAGTAAGAGTTGACAACAGTAATAATAAAGTAAAACATTTTACAATATGTAAATGTTGTAACATTTACTTTTAACAACATACTATGATAAAAGTTATGTGAATGTGGTCTCTCTCTCTGAAAATATCTTATTGTACTATACTCACCTATTTTCAGACCGCAGGCAACTGATACTGCAGGTGAAGGGGGACTACTGTTTTTACAATATGCTAGACACAATTCTGAGAGTTTTACACATATTATTTAACAATTGAATCCTCAGAACCCCATGACCTAATTACTACTATTGCCCCCAATTTTAAAACTATGAAAACTGAAGCACAGACAGGTAAAGTAAACTGGCCAAAATCCATGTTTCAGTCCCAACCCCCAGTACCTCAGACTGTGACTGTATTTGGAGACGGGGTCTTTAAAGAGGTAATTTAGGTAAAGTGAGGTCAGTAGGGTGGGCCCTAATTCATTCTGCTTGGTGCCTTAAGAGATTCTGACACACACACAGGGAAGATCACGTGAGAACACAGAGAAAAGACAGACATCTCCAAGCCGAGGAAGGAGGATTCAGAAGAAACCAACCCTGCCAACACCTTGGTGTTGGACTTCTAGCCTCCTGAAAATAAATTTCTGCTGGTTAGGCCATCCAGTCTGTGGCACTTTGTTATGACAACCCCAGCAGACTAATACAGGCACAGTATTTGAACACACGCTGTCAGGCGTCCACAGCAACTTTTCATTACAGAAAATTTGTTACGCTAAATTACAAACATACAAAAGCAGACAAAATATACATTAACCAACCTCAATCATTTATTAACTCACGGCCAATCTTGTTTCATTTTCTTCCCACTCACAACCCCCTTCATCTTGTTTATTTCAAAATATCCGGGGCATCCTATCATTTCTTCCGTAAATATGTCAGTAAAAAGTCACAATTATTTAACTTGAAGCTTACTGTATTCCTGTCTGTGAATTATTTAGTTAGCAATGAATTGCTACAAACAAGAATGCAGGGTACCACTTAGCCTACTTAAAGCAAGAATTCCTACAAGAGTCACATCATTTGGGTCTTTTCTTCCTATGAGTAAACTGAGGGTAGGAAAAGATGGGTCCTGGCTAGGTCCCACCGCGCCAGGGCCACCAGCGCTAAAGGCCGCGCTCTGGGGCCGGCCTCGTAGACGATGCCGCGCGGCCCGCGGATGACTGGGCGAACAAAGGCCGCAGGACTCGGAAGAGGGGTCCCCACTATCCTTCTGCCCTGGGACTCCTAGGCGACTCTTGGTAGCCCGGACACGCTACGAGCGGGGTAGCTGCGGGGGTCCCGGCACCGCGGGTCTGCGCGTACGTCTGTCCTGCAAGGGGCGCTCACCTCCTCGGCCGCCGTCCCGGAAGCCGCGACACGTGCGCGGGAGGGGGCGACCGCAAAGCACGTTGGTCTGGGCCCTGGGGGAGGGGACCTCCGGGGCGGAGCCAGGGGCGGGCATCTTGGGGGCGGGGCCGGTGGCGCGGGGAGGAGCCTGCGGGCTGCCCAGGCCGGCGCCTTGGGCTCCACCCCTGACTGAGCTGCTCCGGGCGCCTGAGACCCGGGGCGCCATTGGTCCCCGTTTGAGCAGCGCTGACTATCGTTTCCTTCTGCGCACTTGAAAGTCGTCTCTGATCATCTTTTAACCCTGGAAGGAACAGCGGCCATCTGACTGTCAGGCTTGTTTCCTTTCCCGACTGAAAGCGCTCACCCCGGATGGGTGGGGGGGGGGCTCTGAGCTTTTTTTTATTACCATTTCTGCTGCCCGCCAAACTCCTCCCAAGTGTCCCACACTGTACGGTTCACAGAGTAGCACCACATTTGTCATTTCTCCTTCCCAGCAGCTCTGTGAGGTAGATCAGGGATGGGCTTGCCTGTGTGCCAAATCCAGCGCTCCACCTGGTTTTGTAAATAAAGTTTTATTAGAACACAGCCAGGCCCATTCTTTTACATGTTGTCTGTGGCTTCTTTCCTGCTAGAAGGGCAGAGTTCAGTAGCTACAACAGAAACAGTCTGGCCCAAAGAGCGTAAAATATTCATTATTTTGGCCCTTTACAGAAAAGCTCTGCTGACCCGCGAAGTAGATTCATTTTACAGACAAAGGAACTGAGGCACGGAGCTTGAGCAGGATGCCCAGCTGGTATGCACCAGAGCAGGATGGGACTACCATCCCTGTGCGTTTCCCATTACAGCTCCTGCCTGAGTACACATTCTCCCTAGCGGGTCTGGCCTCTGTGTCTGGCTTTCTCTTCCATTCCAGCCTCTGGGGAAGTGGGAAAGGAGGGCTCATCTGGGAGGAAAAGTGAGGATGTAGAGAAAAGAGGATGTAAGGTGATCCGGAAGCATGTGGGTGCTGGGGTTGGGTTTTGGATAGCAGCCTGTGGACCACTGTGTCTCCAGAAAATCACCAGTGCAGCCCTCCGGCTGGGCTCCCTACCACAGAAGGACCAGCTGCAGTGAGTCACTTGGGGGCTCACCAGCCAGATCATGCCTGATTCCCAGTGAACCCTCTGTGTCCCCGATCCTTCTGTGGGGCAACCTTGAGGTCAGCATTTCCTTTCTCAGGCTTGGCCCAGCAACCCCTCCTGGATTATTGGCAGCTCAAGCAGAGGACCCTGCTGACTCTAGGGGAGAACCTATACTCCATGTGGCTGCCCCCTAGACCTGAGCCAGTACCTCAGCCCAGAATCAGTTCTTAGGGAGACTGCAGCCCAGGGAAAGAGACCTTGCTTAGGAGGCAGGGGGACTGCAGGGGACACCTCTCTGGACCTCAGTTTCCTCGTCTGTAAAGTGAGGATAATATCTTTTCAAAGGATCCTGTTACACTCTATTCCTCGGAAAACAGCTGCCTAGACACTCATTTGTATAACTAAGGGGAGGAGCACTCCAAGTCACTAACCCCTGAAAAGGAAGATTTGACCTGGCATCTTCCCTTCAATCTCAGCCTTGAAAAGTACCCTGTCTGTCACAAAAGGCTTCTGTGACCAGATGTAAATATTGCAGTGGCAAAGAGTAGACACTGGAGCCAGACTACCTGGGGTTAAATCCTGGCTTCACCCCTTACTAGCTGTATGACCTTGGGCAAATTAACTTCTCCGGACTTAGCGTTCTCATCTATAAAATAGGGATGATGGTATTACCTACCTCCTAGGGTTGTGGTGGAGGATAAGATGAGTCCATGCATGTATAGACAGTTTGTGCCACCTAGCTATTAACTGTAATTATTAAGGTCTGTTCTGGTTCTGGGACTCCAACTTTTTTGCTGCTCAATATGTAAATGATACCGTGTGATCTTAGCCAAATCCAGAATGTGGGACATTCTACAGGGCAAATGATACGGTTTATCCAACCAATCAATGGTATAAAAAACACACAGGGATGAGGAGCTGTTATAAAAGAGACTTGAGAGACATAGCAGTTAATTGTAATATGTGACTTTTATTGGGATCCTGAATTAAACGAACTAACTATAAAAAAGACACCCTTGAGGGCCGGCCCGGTGGCGCACTGCTGTAGTGCACCGCTTGGGAAGCGCGGCGGCGCACTCCCGCCAAGGGTTGGGATCCCACATACAGACCGGTTCCCACTCACTGGCTGAGCGAGGCGCGAGAGCAACACCGAGGGCTGCAATCCCGTTGCCGGACACGAAAAAAGACAAAAAAAAAAAAAAAAACACCCTTGAAATAATTGGAGAAATTTGAATATGGATTGCATATAGGTAATATGAATTAATTATTTCTTATTTTGCTATGTGAGATGATGGCATGTAGTTTATGTAAACTAAAAAGTCCTTATTATGCATTCTGAAGTATTTACAGGTGAAACGACATGATGTCTACTATTCGATTCAAAATATTCCAGCTAAAATAAAACAAGCAAAAAACCAGGGACACAGATGAAACAACATTGACAAATGTTAGTTACTGTGAAGCTGCATGACAGGTTCAAGGGTTTTCATGCTCTACAATTGTGTACGTTTGGAAATTTCCATAATAAAATGTTTTTAAAAAATATTTTAAAAAGTAGGCTGGCCAACTGGACTTCATCAAAATTAAAAACTTTTGTGTATCAAAAAACACTATCAAAAGTGGAAAGGCAATCCACAAAATGGGAGAAAGTATTTGGAAATCATAGATCTGATAAGAATAGAGTATCCAGAATATATAAAGAAATGTTAATAATTCAGCAACAAAAAGATGACCAAACTAAAAAATGGGCAAATGACTTGAGTATACATCTCTCCAAAAAAAAGATATACAAATAATCAAAAAGCATATAAAAATATGCTCACCATTATTAGTCATGAATCAAAACCACAATGAGATACTACTTCACCACTACTAGATTTCTATAATAATAACAAAAAAATAAAATAGCAAGTATTGGTGAGGATGTGGAGAAACTAGAATCCTCATACATGGCTGGTGGAAATGTAAAATGGTTTCAGCCACTGTAGAAAATAGTCTGGCAGTTCCTCAAAAAGTTAAACTTAGAATTACCATATGACCCATCAATTCCACTCCTAGGAATATACCCAAAAGAATTGAAAACAGGTACTGAAACAAATACTTGTACATAATGTTCATGGCAACACTGTTCACAATAGTCAAAAGGTAGAAACAATCCAAATGTCCATCAACTGATGAATGGATAAACAAAATATGGCATATTCCACACAGTGGAATATTATTCAGCCATAAAAAGGAATCAAATGCTGGTCCATGCTATAACATGGATGACCTGGAAATATTATGCTAAGTGAAAGAGGCCAGACACAAAAGGACGAAGATTGCATAATTTCATGTATAGAAAATTCCAGAATAGGTAAATCCCTTGAGACAGAAAGCAGATTAGTGGTTGACAAGTAGTGGGGTAGGGATAATAGGGAGTGATTGCTAACAGGTATGGGGCTTCTTTCTGTGGCGATGAAATGTTTTGGTATTAGATACTAGTAGTGATTGCACAACATTGTGAATATGATAAAAACCAAGATTTTTTACACTTTAAAATGATAAATTTTATGTTATGTGAATTTTATCTCAATACAAAAATGCATATATAAAAAAAGTAGATTGACCAACCCTAACTGAGGAGCTGATAGAACATTTATCACTCATTCAACTAAAGCACGTGGGAGGGCTATTTTTCAGGAATGAGGAGCGAGAACCCCATGGGATAGGTGGATATTTTGCCTGAGGCTGGGCTTCCCAATAAGAAGAGTGTGTGGTCATCTACATTGTTTGCTAGGGGATATAACCATCCTCAACAACTCCCCCCCCCCCCCCCCCCCCCCCCCCC